CTCTCTCTCTCTCTCTCTCTCTCTCTCTCTCTCTCTCTCTCTCTCTCTCTGTGTCTGTGCTCCCACCTCTCCCTTCTACTCTGCATCGTCCTGCATCAAAGCCCATACTTACTTACTTACACTGGTAGGACTTAATCGACCGAATCTGGTCGCGACCACAGTCGAGTACATCCAAGAAAAGTAGACATGCGATCCCTCTTCCCCCGCATGCAACGCATCCGTCATCACGACTGTGTGGGAACGTCATCACGACTGGGATTCTATCTCATCTTCAGGGGCGAGGTCCGACTAGCAAAGAGGATTAGATTTCCTGCCTGAACCTGGACGCGTTTGTGCAGAGGTGCAAAAAATGGCGATTGAGCTGCGTTTCTGCATCTCTGCGTAAACCACATCCAGATTCAAGCACTCAATCAATTCCCCTTTGCTAATGGGACCCCGCGCCCCAGCATGCTATATTCGGGGGGCGTTGTATTCGGGAGGGGGAAACGGTGCTGCTTTTTTTGGCATTGCCTTGCTCATCCTCTCCTCTCTTCCCCCCCTTCCCCCCCTCCCCATCATCTCCTCCTCAGCCAATCTCTCTCATTCGCTGTGCCATATTTGCTTCCTCTCTCACCCCTTGTTTTTGTTCCCGTTTTCTCCCCTCCCTCCTCCTTCCCTTTTCTTCCTCCCTCCCTCCCTCCCTCCCTCTCTCCCTCCGTCCTCCTTTTGGGCTCCTCCTTTGTTCCTTCCTCGCTCATCTTTTATTCTCGTTCACCCTCCTTGTTCTGTTTTTTTTTTTTTGGTCATTTTTCTGTCACCTTTTATTCCACCTCTCCCTCCCTCTTTTCTCGTCTAGAAATCACCAAACTACGCATTCGGAGGCTGCGAGTGCAAGTTTTTCCAAGCATGGGCCTATGAGTCAGTTTCTTTGCCCTCTCCTGATCCGAAGCGCTACGGATTTGGAGGTCGAGAGTTCGAGTCTTTCCAAGCGTGGGCCTGTAACTCAGTTTCTTTGCCCTCTCTTGAGTCGAAGGGCCAATGGGAGAGAACGGGCGGGGGGGGTGTGTGGATGGGGGGGGTCGGAAAGGACTGCCACGCTATGTTACCAGAGTGGCCCGGGACCACTTGCCCGCCCGGGCCAAAACTGAAGTAAAAATTTAAATAATATTTTTTAATTTTAATTTTATTTTGAATTTGGCAAAGAATTTCGATCGGATCCCGAGGCAAAAGTTTATTGTTTGTGCATAACGTAGTTTTTTTTTTTTTTTTTTTTTTTTTTTTTTTTTTCACGGGGACCTTTCCTGGCGCTTGCCCAGCCAGGCCGCCGGGGCAACCAAGGTTGCCCAGGTGGCCCTGTTGGTACCACAGCTGCCACGTCAGTTTTTTTTCTTTCTTTTTTTTCCCGGTAAAACTACGCTATATTCTTCTCTCAAATCTTTCGTCATCTTTCAAATTCTTTCAATTGACCTTCACTACCTACCTACCACTACTCCTAAGGCTTAGACAGCAGACCCCTGCCAACATAGCTTTATTGTCTCCCTCCAGCCATCAGAGGGGATGCATGTTGCCCCCCCCCCTCAACTATGGTGGTCAAGAATGGGGTGGGGCCGCCGGTGGGGGTCCGGGTAACGCAAAGACCGAGCATTTTGCCCGTAGCTGCTGCGCCTCCCTTTTCATCGTCCCCCACCCCAACCGAATAACAGCAGTGTCTAAAGCCAACACTCTCCCACACACCACACAACCCACTCACACTCACACTCACACCCGTGTTGGCCAAGGACCCTGCTATTACAGATCAGAGGTATGAAGCGGACTATCACTGCTGGTTGGCACTAAGTGCGCCGCAGGCCGTTGTGGGGATTGAACCCACAACCTCCTGAATGCCACTTGCATGCCTAACCAACTGAGCTAGGCCGCTGGATAATATATATATATTTTTCAATAATTGGGTACATTGATTGAGACGT